CGGTGGGTGGAACAGGGCACTTGCAAGCTTCAGGGGCGCAGGCCGTGAAATTCCGGGAAATGGACGTGAAAATTTGGCTCTTGGACGTGAAAATGACGTGAAATTCGTGAAAACTACACCCTGCAATCGCGACCACCAGCACGCACGCCCCCTTTTGTATATTTTTCACTTTTTCACACATTTCACACATTTTCACGTTTTTCTCACACACTTTCACTTTTTTCACACTTTTTCACTCTTTTCACATTTTTTTACTCTTTGCCGAGTGCAAACTAGACTAGGTTTCTGTCGTGTGGCGTGTAGTTTCACACTTTTCACACTTTTTTTCACAATTTTCACACTTTTTCACAGTTTTCGCTTTTTCACACTTGTTCATGCCACACTGTTACATGTTTCACGTGTGTGCGTGCTTTCACACATCTCATACCCTTTCACACCTCTTCACATGGTGCACAGTTTGCACACATGTTCGCACATCTCGCGCCATTTCCATGCTTCTGTGCACCGAGTCCAATGTAGACTAGATTTCATGCATGTTCACACCCTATCACCCCTAGTCATGTCCCCTCCTCTGGTCAAAGCTCACCGCAAAACATTGGCCACCCCCAGCATCACCTATAGACTCATGTTTTGATAAAACACACAAACTGGCAATGGTAATTGAGTTCCCCTTTTCCCCTCCTTGGTCACCTCTCCCCCTGCCCTTCATCCCAGCCCCCAACCCTTCCAACGGCAAATGTTTGGGACCTTTTGTTCCTTTTTGTCCATGTCCTGGTTGTTTGATTGATGGACTTGTTGTTTGGTTAACTGATTGATGAGCTAACTGACAACATGCTGCGCTTTGCATATTTCATGGCCTAGCTCAGAATCGCTTTACCTTCTTAGGAGGCTAATGCGCTTTTTCCACCTTTTTTCCTCACGTCATTGCCCAATGCGATGAGCATTGTGCTGCGCTTGTGGGTCAAGTCGATTTTGCAAGCGCCCGATTGCGCAAGATCTTCTTGCATTTAGGAACCAAGCGCGTCAATCCATCATGTCCACAGTCTCGGTTGCCGACCTCCCAGAGGACATTCGCATGGCGGTGGCAAGCATGCTGCAGAAGAAAATGGATGACGCAGCACAGGCCCGCCAAAAAGAGCTAGCGACTGAGCGGAAGCGCACTGCGGTGGCCGCAAGCTTGCCTCCTCGACGGCTACACAAGAAGAGCACGCTGCAGAATCCCGACGCCATGGACACACTGCCCATGCTCGAGGACTCGCAGCCCGAGCGCTCTCACATGGTTGAAGAAGAGTCCGAGGAGGAGAGCTGCGAGGCCACCGACAACGACCACTTTGAGGCCGAGGAGGAGGAGAGCCGCGAGGGCGACGACGTGGTTGAAGTGACCGCGACGCTCAACGAGAAGGCGGCCAAGGCGAACGCGGGCAAGGCGGCGGTCAACGAGGGCAAGGCGGCGGTCAACGCGGGCAAGGCGGCAAAGGTCAACGAGGGCAAGGCGGCGAAGGTCAGCGAGGGCAAGGTGGCGAAGGTCAACGAGGGCAAGGCGGCAAAGGTCGACGAGAGTGCGACGGTCAACGAGAAGGCGGCCAAGGCGAGCGAGAACAAGGCGGCGGTCAACGAGGGCAGGGCGGCGGTCAACGCGGGCAAGGCGGCGAAGGTCAACGAGGGCAAGGCGGCGAAGGTCAACGAGGGCAAGGCGGCCAAGGCGAACGCGGGCAAGGCGGCAAAGGTCAACGAGGGCAAGGTTGACGAGAGTGCGACGGTCAACGAGAAGGCGGCGGCGAAGGCTGGCCAGCCGGCTAGCGCGACGGCGGCTGTGGGCAACGTGGCCAACGAGAGCAAGGCGGCGAAGGTGAACGAGGGCAAGGAGAAGGCCAGCCAGCCGGCGGCGGGCAACGAGCTCAACTCGTGGGAGAACATCGAGGAGCTGATGCACGTTTTTGACTTAACCAGGGAGGATGCCGAGGCAGCCTTGATGTCAGTTTTGGGTCCTCCTCCCACCAGCTACTTGCAGTCCCGCCCGGCCTCTTTTTCTCCTCCTACGGAGGCAAATGACAAGTCCGTCAACAACGCCAAGGAGCTCGGCAAGATCATGGAGGTCAACACTCTTGCAGCTGAGTCCGAGAGCACCGCCAGCAAAACGGCCTCCAACCCTGGCAAGCGTGCCAACGATGAGGCATCCGTTCCGAACAAGAAGCTCTGCAAGGCCCTGACGGATAAGTCCCCAACGGCGCTTGCTGAGCCACCTGCGCTGGACCGCCTTGGGTCCCTCGGGTTGCCTGGATATTTTCTACAATTGCGCAGTGGCTTTGTTTGTGATTTGGAAGCTTCACGATTTGCAAACTAAGCGTGCGTTGCTTAAGCCAAGTACTGAACGCCAGGTCATGCACGACGCTACTACTGGGGCAGGACGAGGTTGAGAAGCAGAACGGTGGAACCACGGCTTCTGGCAGGAAGGCGGCTGAGACGTCTCCAGTCTCCTCGCCTCTTGGCAGGGATCGCGTGTTTTAGTCAATGGAAATTGCCACCCACCCTCAAACACACGCGCGTAGCCCGCCCAGGCTTGGGCCAAGTGCTTCTGCGGTTGTCGAGGGCGACCCCATCCAACAAATCGTTCGCATCCTGAACAACGTCTTGGCCGCCAGCAACCAGAGTGTGGTTCTCACACCGTTGGCCGACGCTACGAAAACGGACGAGCAAGACGAGCCCAGCATGCCCAGCCAGCCGGAAGCGTCAAAGTCCGACAAGGTGTGGGCTGGCTGGGACAAGTTCAAGGTTGGAAAGCGTGCGGAGCCAGTGAACCCAAAGTCCCTGGACTACGACGCAAGTGATGATGCCTCTGATCAGCTTGGGGGCGATGATCAATCCAAGCCAACAGTCCCTATCCTCAAAATCAACACGTCCACTCACAAACGTGAGTGGATGTCGTTGATGCGGAGGATGGAGTCCGGCTCGTACTCGGCCAGCTGCCCCCACATGGCGAAGATGTGGTCGGGGTCGCAGAAGGACCCGTGATCAGAGACGTTTTTGTTCAACATGCAAGCGCCTTTGCCAGGATCGCAACGAGTTGCTCAAGCAGTGGGTCACTTCGGGTGAGGTCATGCAGAAGGTTGAAGCTTCCTTGGTCATCAAGAGGAAGCAAGAGTCCCAAGTTGCTGCCAGCAAGAAGCTGATGACGGTAGCTGAGATGCAGGCTGCTGGATTTAGCGCGCTTCTTGGCTCACTAAGCCTGCCTTTCCTCGCACGTTCACTTGCTTGCTGCCAGCTTCTTTAAGATTCTTCGCTCCCTAGGGCCAAAATCGAGAACCTGATCAAACGTGGAGGGCTGCCAGACCCAGACGCACCCAACGACCCAGCCAGCATGCGCTACTGGGCAACGTGTGGGGCGGAGATGGTGGATCGGCAGACTGTTTCTCAGGAGGCAGAAGCTGTCACGGCAGTGGATCCCACGGCAGCAGGGCTGGCAGCAATGTTGGAAAGCCACCAGGAGGCGACCCCGGGCAGCGCAGATCAGCCGTCACTGCAAAGCATGCTGAACCTCCTCAATCCTGCAGCGGCGCCAGCTACAGGCGCGGCGCCTGGCGTTGCAGGACTGGCTCAAGCGCCCATCAAAATACTCACGTTAAATAGCAGCCCTCTTGCTGTGTCAGGACAGTCCAAGCGCAAGGCGCCAAAGAAGAAGGCCAAGGGTACTCAGCAGCAAGGCCCGTGCTCGTGGGAGGAAGTCAGGGACACGTTGCGGGCTTTATTGCTGAAAGAGCACAAATCCACTGGCGTGCTCTTGGAGCTCCCGAAATCTCACCCACTGAGATCTGAGCTTGAACTGCTCAAGGGGCGGATCGAGCAGATGCTCGATGTGCGCCTTGTCCGAGGTCAGGTGTGGAGTGTAACCTTTCAACATCCTTCATTGCCCCACTCATCTGAGGCTGAAGGATTCCACGGAGGACGGTCTCTACACGTTGAAGGGACGCAGTGAGGATTTGATGGACGAAGTTCGCATGGCCCGGGCACAGGCTCGAGCAATCATTTCTGAGCTCAAGAAAGGTGGCAGCCAGCAAGCCAGCAAGGCTGACAAGTCTGGCTGACCATATGGTAGGTCACACTGAGGTGTGCCAATTTGGGCAACATGAGCGGCAGTGCCGCTATAGCATATGTTGCCATGGGGGCATTTCACTTTGAGCATCAAATCAGCGTTGGGAAAAAAGCGCCTTTCCATCCTTGACTGCCATTTGCCCGAGCCATGCTGAGCCGTTGCATTGAGCGGTCTCTTGGAGTCTTGCCTTAAGCGCCTGCGCAGGTTCTAGTGCCAGCACAGCGTTGGCAAGATTGAGGGAGGAGCTCGACGAAGCGACGCTTGACACGCACTGGATCGCATGGATGCTTCAGCAGTCTTCAAAAACATGCAAATATATAGCACACACTTGAAAATACAGAAATGACAGCTAAATAAAACACAAACACATACAATACATATATATATATATGTGCAAATGCGCACGCACACACACACACACAAGAACACTTTATGTTGCTCACACATGTGTGCACAGACATGAGCGCGCGCACGCATACACGCAGGGATGACACACACGTGGGCGCGCACACACACACACACACGCGCGCGCACACATTCAGACATGATCGCACACACACACACAAAGCAAAAGTGCAGACACGCACCCCCCCAAACCCCCACCCCCCCCCCCCCACACACACAACACACAAGCACACGCACATATATACGCCCGACCGCAAAACACACACACACAAACGGACAAACACAAGCGCCCAGAAAAGCAAGGGAGCATGCGCGCCTGCATTCACATGCTCACACACACACGTGTTGCGCAACGCACGCACGCCCGAACGCGCATGCGTGCGCCTGCGCGCACACACACACACACACTTACGCGTGCATCACGGGACGTGCGCGATGCGCAATCGTTCACAACCATTGGGCGGACCATTCACAAACTTATGATGCAACGAACACCGCAATCAGGATGGCCTACACAGTTGGGTCTGGCCAAGCGAGTGTCAATCATGCTCGATCCCTGGCGCGGGTTTACGATAGCGATCTCTTTACGAACCTAAACTGCACTTGAGCGTGCCAATCAAACTTAGGGTTCCGGGTTGTTGCACGCTCTGCTTTGCTCTGCGCAGGTCACAACGAGAAAGAGGGCTTCACGAAAGAGCCAAAAAAGCTCGTGTAAGCTTACCTTGCCCCATCACAATGGTGCCAATATTATTGAGGGAATCATCTGAGTTGGATGCAGCTGCTAGTCTGGTGGAATGGCCGTTTATTCTTCCCCATGAATTTGCAACTTTGCTGCACTTACAAGACATGCTTCAATATGTTTTTCCAATCCCTGTGAGGGGCTGTGTTTTTGCGGGTAAGGTGCGCACCCTTGTGGCCGAAGGCTACCTCAACGTTTTGGTGGGCGATGTCAAAGACATTCCAGGCTTCTGGGAGCACTTTCTGAAAGATTTCCCCGATCACCCTGCCGCGGATGGGGACAAACGCCTACGATCTCTTGGGTTCACTCTTTACTGCAACTCGACATGGTTGGCCATGAACAAGTAGAAACTTGCTGGGGCAGATTCACACTTCACACCGTCGCATCCTCTCTAAGAACCTTAGGTGATGAAGCCCAGAGCTTGAATGACAATTGGATGCATCTCATTTTCACCAGCGATTTGTCGCCGCACTTGACGGACGCAGGGGCATCTCGATTCTTGATGACCATTTTTCCGGAAAGCCGATACGTGCTGAACCAGGACACGGGGGTTAACGAGACACTTCAAGGAGCTTGCCAAATCATAGCGGACTCTTTCAACAAGCTTGCAAATGAAGGGGTGGATCTCAGGGAGTTCCCATCCGAGGAAAGCATTTTGGCTGCTAGCTCGCACAACGCATTTTGAGTTTGTCAGTTCCTGCTACTTTCAAATCAAGTAATGTCCGTGGCCAGGTTGCAACCCTGCATTGCTTCATCACCGGGTTCCGTGGAGATTGGAAAGCCCTCAAACAGGTATTCAACCTGCGCCGGCACGCCAGCACGGATGAGGCAAGCAGTTGTCAAATTAGGAATGGCGCTTAAAACGCATTCGTGAGTGATTGTTTGACCCTGAAGATATGTTGGCTGTGCAAAGCCTGCAAAGGGCTAGATGATGATCAATCTCCTCTGATCTTTACGGATGCCCGAAACAGCGCGGCTTTCTGGGGCACCATTGGCTTGGAGGACCCTTGGAGCCAATCCCCGTCCTACGCAACCTTGGTGGGGTTTTCTGGCCCTGGCATGATTCACGCGGACCTATTGCACGTATATCACCTCGGTGTTGGTCGGGATGCTTGCGGAGCACTTCTGAAACTCATGATGTCCAAATACCCAACTGTCTTTTTTGAAGGAAACAACATTCCTGCGAAAATGCAGGCGGCGACAAAGCAACTCAAAGAGTACGCAGCCTTGCACAAGCTTCCCCTTAGAATGAAGCGGTTTTCCAAAGCTAAGATTAGTTGGAAAAAGAAGTCGTTTCCTGAACTGAAATCATCAGGCTATGACACTTACGTGATTTCCCGGTGGCTTGGCCACGTTCTTTCCCTTGCCCAAGGCAGGAATGATGAAATCAACAAATGGGCCACTATGATGTGGGCCATTAACCTTGTCCTGTCCCTTTTGTCTCGTGCTGGGAGGTGGCTTACCCCGGAAGAGCAAGACAACAAAGTTGTCGTTGGCAAAATTTTTGTGACAATCTACCTTTCCCTTGCGTTTGATTCCATTCAGAACAACGTTGTTGGCGAGTGCGGCCAAAGCTGCACTTGCTGCATCACATACTGCTGTCAAGTCCCCAGTCCTTCTCCAACCCAAATTCATTTTCAACTTGGATGGATGAGGACAGTTTGAAAAAACAAATGAAGGTGCTCCGTAAAACGGACCCTAGATCAGCGCAACTACGCATGCTGCAGCGGTGGCTCCTTGCTTTGCCGCAGAAGTTTGATATGTGCAACAAAAAAGGGCCATCGTGAGGGGTGCTTTAAGGGTCAGCGGTTTGCGTTTCTGTGGTTTGCGCTGGTTTACCAAGGTTGTTCCATTTTGATTACAGGGCTGCGGAACCGTCTTTGTCACATGTTTTCATTGCAAATCGAAACCAAACACAAGTATACCGGTTTAGGGCCTGCGTGATCTACAGCAAGCATGAACAGTTTTGGAGCCTCTTCAGGCGCTGAGGGTGTCCGTGGGTTTCGTCACGGATTTTTCAGAAATACACGCACCCCTTTTGTTGGTACATGTTCCCAACAGAAAAACGACCTCGACCTCGCCCAAAATTCTCTTCTTGGGCCGGACCCTTTTCACAGAAGAATTCTTTGCTTGATCGCAAATCGCACAGGTTTTTACGCTGATAGCTTCCAAAAAAGAGCCTTCAACAAAAAAGTGGCATCTCTCATCCAGCAAAAAGGCAAAACTTTGAGCCAACTGTCACGATGTTTTTCCTCCGCGGTATGAACCAAACTGCAAGCTTTGAGCCAACTGTCGCATTTTTCCTTTCCATGGTATGAACCAAACTGCAGGCTTTGAGCCAACTGTCGCCTTTTTTCCACGCGGCTTGAGCCAAACTGCAAGCTTTGAGCAAACTGCCGTTTTTTTCCTTCCGCGGCTTGAGCCAAACTGCAAGCTTGTTTTGAGCCAACTGTCGCGTTTTTTTCCCCTCCGCGGCCTGAGCCAAACTGCAATTCGGTTTTTTTCCCTCGAGCTTGGGGCGCATTTGGCTCGGAGTGGTGACAGACCAGGCGCGTCCGCGTGAAAGGCGTGAAAACCGTGTAAACCGTGAAAACCGTGAAAATCGTGAAAAAAGCCATATGGCCGTGAAAATCGGGAATGGCCCCGTGAAAAAAACGATAGGGTCGTGAGGCGTATGGCCCCCAGTTTGGGGGCCAAATGGCCACCCAGGTTTCTCGTCGATTCGACAACATTTCCGGAAATCTCGTCCACCCGACAACATTTCCTGTCGGGCCGACAACTCTTGCATGTTTCCGTGGAAAATTGCACATGTCGCCGACTCGACAACATTTCTCGTCGATTCAACAACATTTCCGGAAATGTCGTCGACTCGACAACATTTCTCGTCGATTCGACAACATTTCCGGAAATGTCGTCGACTCGACAACATCTCTCGTCGATTCGACAACATTTCTGAAAATGTTGTCGATTCGACGAGATATGTTGTCGATTCGACAACATTTTTGCGCAGCATTTTTCAATAAGTGTTTTCACGCTGTTTGGAGCACAAAAATAAGTGTTTTTTGTCATTTTTGCCTAAAAAATAAGTGTTTTCGCATTTTTTTCGGAAAAAAACACCAACCGACGAACCTTTCCAGAAATGTTGTCGAATCGACCAGATATGTTGTCGATTCGACAACATTTCCGGATTTTCCGGAAATGTTGTCGAATCGACGAGAAATGGTGTCGAGTCTTTAAATGTTGTCGAATCGACGAGAAATGTTGTCGAGTCGACGAGATTTCCGGAAATGTTGTCGAATCGACGAGAAATGGTGTCGAGTCGAGAAATGTTGTCGAATCGACGAGAAATGTTGTCGAGTCGACGAGATTTCCGGAAATGTTGTCGAATCGACGAGAAATGGTGTCAAGTCGAGAAATGTTGTCGAATCGACAAGAAATGTTGTCGAGTCGACGAGATTTCCGGAAGTGTTGTCGAATCGACAAGAAATGTTGTCGAGTCGACGACATTTCCGGAAATGTTGTCGAATCGACGAGAAATGTTGTCGAATCGACGAGAAATGTTGTCGAGTCGACGCAAATTCCGGGAATGTTGTCGAATCGACGAGAAATGTTGTCGAGTCGACGAGATTTCCGGAAATGTTGTCGAATCGACGAGAAATGGTGTCGAGTCTTTAAATGTTGTCGAATCGACGAGAAATGTTGTCGAGTCGACGAGATTTCCGGAAATGTTGTCGAATCGACAAGAAATGTTGTCGAGTCGACGACATTTCCGGAAATGTTGTCGAATCGACGAGAAATGTTGTCGAATCGACGAGAAATGTTGTCGAGTCGACGCAAATTCCGGGAATGTTGTCGCATCGACGAGAAATGTTGTCGAGTCGACGAGATTTCCGGAAATGTTGTCGAATCAACGAGAAATGTTGTCGAGTTGATTACCGGAAAGAGTCGACGAGATTTCCGGAAATGTTGTCGAATCGACGAGAAATATTGTCGAGTCGATGAGATTTCCGGAAATGTTGTCGAATCGACGAGAAATGTTGTCGATTCTACAACATGCAAATTCTCACTGGAACAAATGGAAGTTGTCGATCCGGCAAGAAATGTTGTTGGCATGACCGCAAATCTGGTCGACTCGGCAAGGTTTCGAGAAGTTTTTGGGGTTGACTGCCTTTTGTTACTTTTGTTTGTCGGTGTTGTCATTGCACGGCTTCCCCCACTCACAGTCTTGAGTTTGGTGGCCACTGACAGCGGTTGAACAGCTTGAGTGTGTGGTTAGTCAAGCCCAGCGTGTGACATGAGTAGGTGGGCCAGCGACAGGAACCATGGCACATGCTTAGTACACACGTGGTTTCCCAATTGTCACGCATTTTGTGGGCCCGGCGTGTGCGAATGCCGACGACGGCCGTGGCGGCCGTGGACTGGCGTCTATGAAGCGAGTGCCAGCTTGAGACGATCTGTGGAGAGCCTTCAGGAATCAACAGGCGCTACACCGAAAGCTGGCCCAGTCGTGGTTGTGTGAATGAGACGCATGTGAACACAAATATATTTAACAAGTCTGACAGTCAACCCTTCGCAAAACGGCTCCCAAGATTTAAAAAACAAGCAATCCCAAGAGCAGTGTCTTAGACGCACATGTCAGGCAACACAGAGCTAGCGTATCTAATTGCGCGGTCTGGCATGATTTGGCTTCATCGTATTTGGCTGTTACCAGCTTTTTGTTGCGTGCGCTGACTCTGTCACCTATTTGCAGGCGGCCCTGCTGCTGCTTCTGCTAGCAGGCAGCCCGCAGCAGACGCACCAGGCTCGCCGGTATCCGGCGGCCGGAATCCGGGAATCCGGCGGCCGGAATCCGGCGGCCGGAATCCGTCCGGGAATCCGGTGCCGGAATCCGGCGGCCGGAATCCGGGAATCCGGTGCCGGAATCCGGCCGCCGGAATCCGGGAATCCGGTGGCGGAATCCGGCCGCCGGAATCCGGGAATCCGGTGCCGGGAGCCGGGTGGACCGGGCTGCCAAGTGCTTGGCGGACTTAGGTGGGTGGGAGATCAGGACGTGTCTCGCGACACCATGGTGGGACGTGCCTGTTTGTGTCGGACTTCTCAAATGCTGAGGTTGGCCTTGGGCTCAATGATTTTCGAAGGTAGAGGGTGGGTCAGAGGTCGAAGGGTCGTATGTTACTTGCATTTCAAACTAGCACTGTGTCAGTTTTTGTCATATCATAGTTGCGCCCGAAATCTAAAGAGTGCAACATTGCATTTTCCGCGGTCTGGCTCAAAAGACGCGTGCTCTCCATCACACAACCTGCGCGGACCAGCTGGCATGGCAAGCAACGGTGGCAGTCAGATGGGCGGCGACGATCACACTGATGAAGTGCAGGAGCTGGTGCAGGAGTTCAAGATGCGTCTTTGGGATGTCGCTCGGCGCACTTTGACATGCCCGGGCTGCCAGATGCACTTGACCGCGTTGAGAAAGGAGAATTGGCTGCTATATGATCGGTTGGATCTTTAGCTTTTCCGCTTTCTGGAGGATGTGTTTTTTTCTGTGAAGCCGCAAACCTTTTGCATGTCGTGTTGAGCCATCCAGGAGATTATCCGTTCGATCGGCTACAGCTTGCTGTCGTTCCTCTTGGGGACGCTGTTCGGCTTGGCTCTCCGGACCAGGAAGCGAGGGTGAGGCGGCTGAGGCTTGGGGCTTTCTTGCCAGAAAAACCAGGGCTGGCCCTTCACCGCCTGAGCAATGACCGCCGCCTTTGGCTTTGCTTGGGCTTTAGCCGGGGTTACTGCTCAGCATGCTTTGCAGAGCCTTAATGTGGGCCGTTCTAAGAACCAGTTTGCCTTCACAGAAACCATTTCTAAGCTCGCAGAAAGAGGGATTGCAGTTTCTCGTCTATAAGAACCGCCGACTCCCTTGGCTTTCCCCTCAGGCTTGAACCGGGGCCGGAGATGATAAAAAGCGCAGCTGTGCGTGCTTGCTCACCTACATTTGCTGCAACCCTGTGAGTTGTCGCGCAGCGACCTTTGACAGGCGGCAAGATTTCCTCCTGACTGAATGGCTGCTGACGCCCGCAGGCGCGGTTTGCTGGCCATAGCAGTTGAAAGTGAAACGACACATTGACCAAAGGCAAGCCGTGGAAACGTTGGCATGTTTTGGATATAGTGACACAGTGACATGCACGGTGACACAGACAAGGCGAAAGGGCTTCAAGACTCCGAACATCCATTCAAACTTATGTGTTGACAAGTTGCGGTTTGGCAGGGGTGTTTGTTGGTTGGACTGCGTAGGGACAAACTCCAGGGAGAAACTGCCCGCCCAGGCGTTGTTCGACTTCCCTTTGTTGTCTGTTCCGGGAGCCCTTGTTCATCCATGATGTTGGTTTTCCCGTTGGCTGCACTGCCGACAGGCTGCGCTGCCTTGATCTCGACTACACCATTTTGGACGATTGCCCAGACTGCCCAGCCAGGCTGCCGGGCTTGACATCACTGATGTCTTTTTGAAAAAGTAAGGTGTCCCTGGTAGGATGAGTGCATTGACACTGACAAATTAGCAATCTGGAATGCGTCATGATGTTCCTTCAAGTGGATCTGCCCATTTTGTCGCTGGAAGCATGTTCGGATTTGTTTCCCTTGTTGGGTGTCGGTGCTGGCTTGCGGTTTGGGAAACACAGGCC